TGAATGAGCGATAGAAAGAGACAGCCACTGAGGAAAAGAGGAGGGGAGAGAGTGGGTGTGAGAAAGAGAAAGAGAGAGAAAAACATAAATGAAAAAAAGACGAAAATACAAGGATTGAGTATATACTTTTGCAGTACTTTACATTTGTTCTTGTCAATTTTACGAATGCCTTTTACCAAATTACGCCCAATTTTGTTTTTTTTTTTAAATGTTTTTTTAGAAGCGCTAGTTCGTGACTAGTTGTATCTGTTATCGTGCTACTGAAGCGACGTACATACCCTCAAGCATTATTTCACATCATACTCTACCTTTACTTATTGCAAACACGTGACGCGTGAGACACGAGACGTGGTTGCATCGCATATAAACAGCAAGCAACATACGATGAAACTGCGTAAATTGACAAATTTTAGTCATTCCACTAGTACTCGATACGGTTGATATTGTATTTCATGTAATATTAATAATTTGATTCCTAATTTATGGTAGAACTAATATCTAGTTTGACGAATCAGAAATGATAGATTATATACACGAAGAGCTTAAAAAATCAATCATTCACTTTGTAGGATTTATGTTATTAAAAAAACTCATTCAAGTGTAATTTAGCGTTCAAATAAATTAGACTTTGGAGTTTTATTTCGTTACTCGTGAAATTACGTGAAATTTTCATAAACTAACGTGTTTTTTAAAAATAAACTTAATTTCATTGTGGTTTTAAATTGTAAAGTTATGTACAGTACATATTTTATCGTTAGCTTTGGTACCTCTATCTTTTTATTTAAAAAATATCATTCATCCGACGATATTAAACACAATTTTTGTAGATAAATCAATTTAATATTAATAATTAAATATTCCCTCTGTAATTATGAGTCAACTTTAATACAATATTTATAATAAAAAATACAACATTTATAATAAAAAAGAACTTTCAGCATTTGAATGAGATACATGTACAATTATGTGTATGTTAATTTTTTTCATGAAATTATTAGACTGGTTAATCATATAAAAATGTTTTTCTCTATTGATCAAACAGAGTCACTACATTTGAATTTTGTCTAAAATTTAGTTAAGTCTTGAATTTAGTTAATAAGATCTTTGTTCTACTGGCATTTTATATTAATTTTATTCTACTTTAAATTATACGAGGTCAAGCTTTCATGTTTTCACTTTTACTGTATCAGTAACGTAATAAATAATCTAATACCCCTGTGGTCTGAAATTTTACAATATGTAAATTAGATTTTGTTAAACAACTCTTTAATTTTATTATCATGTATAAGTAAAAGTTTATCAAAGATGTTAAAAGGTAATAGAAAATTGTTTATACATATGATTTGTTTGTAATAATGAACAAGTGATTTGAAATTATCAAGTATTATATTTTAATAAACTTCTTTAAAATAAATAGTAACGAAAACTTCGCTAACAGTAAAATGTTTTGTTATCACAATTGGATAATGTTTAAAATTTCAGTGCTAACAAATTAAGGTTAAGGATTGCAAATTTTTTTTCATTTTTTAATTATTCGATTATATTATAAAATCGTGGATAATTTTTATTTTATTTATGTTAAAAAATCTGTATGATATTACCAATAATGAAAAATTAATGAAAATCCATAAATAACTTGTATTTTTACATGATGAATTGCACGTATTGCATAAGTATTGTAATACATATAATCATCATAAGTATAATAATTACTTCAATACAGAATGTCAATTATATAAAAACAGTATAATAATGTTATTTAACAAAAAGGAGTATAAAATATAATTTTCTTGTACTAAATCTGTACCGAATCTTGAATCATAATTTATAGTAAATAATAATTATAGTTTACGTAATTAAAGACACATTTTATTTCTGTGTGACCTCTATACATTATACTACATATGTACATATATACTTACATATATATATTTATATTCTTTGTATTATTTTTCTCCATTTACATAGTTGCACAATAATTTGAACACACATAAATTTATATTTGTACGTAATTTATGTTAAAATACGACGTATTCTACAAAACATTTTTCAAAATCACGTTATTTATCATAAAGATGTAACTACAGTATATTATTGCGCTAAGTTTTGTCGCAACGCCAATTTTACTCACAAATTACTGTCTGTGCATTGGTTGCAAGTTTCTAACAAAATATTGTGCACGAGTATTATATTTCACAATTAAAAATATAACTAGTTTTTAATTTTTACAGATTTAACTTGGAAAGCCTAGAAAGAATAGAAAAAAATATAAAAAATTTAATATTGCATATATGTAATTATTTATAAATAAAATTCATATTAATATTATTATTAGATTAATTAAATTCAATTTTGTGTTAGGAAAAATACATTATGCTAATGTAAAATTAATTCGTATATAAATCGTTTATTTATAAAAACAAAATTTTAGAAATATAAATGAGTGTACGAAAATACATTGTCAATGGATGAAGATACAATATCGTATTTATTTATTTTGTTTTACAACAAAATCGTAAAATAAACTGATATTTTATCAATGTCAATAAAACATTTTAAATGTTGCATGATTTATTAATGGATAAATAATTGATCAATTGAATGATTTTATACAAATACAATTATTTTATAATAATAGTATTTGTTTACATTTACATTTAAAATATTTATTCTTTAGAAAATTGAGTTACTATTATATTAAGTCCTTCGCTTCGAATGTGAACATGCAAGTAACAATAAACTAATATAAAAGTTATAAATTATACCTTATTAGCATAATTGATATATTTGCAAAAGCATTAATCATCAGTTACATTTAAAATATCAACTTGTTTTAACGAACGTTTCGTTAACTGCATTTCTATTTGTAAATATTACAAAAGATAGACAATCAAATCTTATATTTTTTATCTAAAATTTTATATTATTTATTTAAAAAGTTATGACCAATTATAAGAAAATTTTGAGACTTGCACTTCTTATAAATTGCAAAATTATTTATATTGATTACTATGCATTTTGTTACTTTTTTACATTTATACACTTCTTTCTGTCTTTAAATCATTTTTTTTATAAAAGTTAAAATAGACATGAGAATCGGGAAGACTTAGAAAACAATTGAACATCGTTTGTCAATACGTCTTTGTAAAAAACTTTAGATAATATCACATATTAAAATGTGCCTTATTTATTTGAAATGTATTAATGTCGTGTATATATGAAAAATGTTAATAAATATATTTAAAAAAAAAAATTCATTACATTCTATTCTAAGAGTGAATGAAATCTAAAAGAATAATACATCTCATAAATTTTATAAAATAATTAAAAATTATATAAATATATTTTTGTCGTAAAAGACAAAAAGGCACTTCTATATAAGTGTTACGGTAAGACGTTTTAAATCTTTAAACCGTTTCATATTTTCATGCAGATATTCATTCCTATGTTATAATTGTTCATTGTATACATTGTGTACATAATTTACACCTACACACATACGCACACATTCATACATAGCAGTCTAAGTTATATGGCAGTATTATAATATCATACTTGAATAATTTGATAATTTCATATTACATAAGATTCCATTAAATACTTATCAGTTATAATGTTAACGACTATTCTAATTAGTGCTAAAGCTTCATTTGCTGCATAATAAAATTTGTCATTTAAATATTAATCAATTAAAAATTTATATTTATATATAAAAACACATATTATTGTAAATAATCTTCTTCATTAAATGAGGATTATTTTAATGATTTTTCACTTCCCAGCATATGTTGGATTTTTAAACGTTGATGTTGCTTGTTTATAAATTGGATTTTCACCCTATTAAAAAATAATTAAAATGAAATATTTTATACCAAAAAAGAGAAAAAAAAATATATAAAATCAAAAATAAATTGATATTTTTACCGTGTCCCACTTAGCCATCATTCTTTCCTTTTCAAATCTTGCAAACTCTCTTCTATCATGTATAGTTGTTAATAATTTCCATAAAAGTAACAATGCAAGACCGATTAAAACAATAGCTGCAATTACACCTAATACTATACCGAGCATATAAACTTGCGGTGGACATTCCCTTTCTTTTTGAGCTCGGACATTTAGGCAATTCGTTTCGTTGTAATAATAAACAAAATTATACTTGCAGTCATCTTCATCTATACCAAAACATGGAACCTCATCCTTGTCCACATCTGGTATTACTGTATCAACTGGTTCGGGAACAAATGTTTTGCAATTCTTTGCACATTCTTCTTTGTCAGTGAAATTACCAGTACCGTACATTTGACATAATACACAATTTTTTAATTCTTCACACCGGCTTGGACAAGTTGGACATTTATTACAATGTTTACCAGAATATCTAGTATTTCCTTCTTCATGGCAGATGCATTCACCACAAACACAATCTCCCTAAGTGATAAAAGATTAATTAAAACTAAATTTGTAAAAGTTTTTTTTCAAAGTAATAAAAAACTTACATGTCCTGAACATAACACTCCATTAGTAGTTCCTGGTGCAATACAAGTTTCATTTGAAGATCTACAATTGCAAGATGGGCCAGTCCATCCTGCATTACAGACACATTGTCCACACTCACACGTTCCATGATTCGAGCACAAAGAACCTTGATCTCGATCACACGAGAAATTGTCACATTCGCAAAAATGACCTGATATTATCTGAAATAAAAGAAACAATTAGCATATTTAATTGAACAAATATAAATATTTATATTGAAATTATATACTTCTTCAGGATTTTCTCTTTCTTCACACTCGCATTGACCACAAGCACAAGTTCCTCTTCCTGAACAATCTACCAGAGAAGTGTTATCTGGTCTACAAGATTGGAAATGTTTATCTAGTCCTGTCATTTCTTGATGGGGACTACATTCGCAACGTTTTCCAAAATATCCGTCATAACATTCACAAATACCACATTTTAAAGTTCCTACACCATTACATTCTGGAGATTTTGGTTCATACATAGCACCTTCGCGTTCACATTCACAGTCACATAACATTTCTAAATTTACAGTAAGTGTTTCATTAATTCCAACCTGAAAAAAAGTAAATTCGTTTCTTTATTAAATTTACCTATATTAAATTAAGTAAATAGATTCGAATGCTTCTATTCTTACTGGATAAATATCGAATTTTTGTTTCCATTCAGACCTATTTTCTGGACAACTTGTAACTTCAATTTCTGCAGTAAATTCCACTTTTGTTCCAACTTTTAATCCGTCGCATTTTGAAGTTTCAATAAGTGGTCCCGTACCCAAACACTTTGAAAAATATTTTACTTTTACGGCGCTGCTAGCTGTATCTTTCATTTCGACCGAGCTTGAAATTGCATCATATTGTTCACGAATTAATTCTACAACATTACTCGAATCATCAGACAATTTACCAGCAAAAGATCCTTCTACGTGTTTAGTCAGTCTTTTATATACATTTATTTGCTCTTCCGTAACAGCCCATATAATATTAATAGCATTCTGTTTAACTTTCAAATTAATTTGAGAAATACTTGGATAGTCTTGTAAAGATGAATGCGTGTAAAGTCCAGTACCATCTAAATGACATTCACCATCATTTGGTTTGACAATTCCACCTAATTTACCATCGCCTGCATAATGAAAACCAGCATCTGTAGAAAACACTAAAAGTCTACGAGCTTTTTCACGCCAGCCAATCTGTCGCCTACAAACTATAGCTTGCATTATTGCATCAAATCCTCCTTCTGGTGCATCTAAATTTCCAGATACTGAAGCATTTCGCACTAAACTCTAAATAAATAAGAAAAATTAATAACAATTTTAATATTAACTGAAAAATTAAATTATTACTTACTGCAAAATGACTAGTATCTTGAGACAATGTCATAATATTTTTATAACCATATGGTGCTGCACATCCATCACATGGTTCTATTAATCTGAAATATAAAACTGACTATAAATTTATCGTTAAATGAAGTATAAAATTGTAATTTCAACTTATACATACATATAGACTGTAATTTTTGAGAAACTTACGATTTAGGCATAGTACTAACGTAAGGCATTACAACTTTATCAACAAAACTGCCAAAACCTAATCGAAAATTACTAGTAATTTTACTCATACTTTCTACTAAGAGTTGACCTAAATCTGATAATTTTTTTTTGTCATCTTCCATTGATTTACTCAAGTCCATAAGATAATACAAATCAACAGGATAATCTTCAGCTTGTGAATAGGCAAAAGTCATTCTGTGTGCTTCGTCTAAAGATTTTTTATATTATATTGCAAATATTGTTTTATGTTTATAAATTGCTTATGTATAATAATTATAACTTACTTATTCGAAGTTTTAAATTAACTTCTTGTGGCCAAATTTGTACAGCTTCCTGTCTTCTGCCACTGCTACTGCTGCTACTGCTGCTACTACTACTACTACTACTACTACTACTACTAGTGGATTGTGAACTAGAGCCATATGTGCTAGAATATTCATAACTATTAGCACCACCATATGCATATCCACCTTTTGTTAAATTTCTATGTCTTATCATACTAAAAACATTATCTGGATTCCATGTATATTCAGCAGGACATGTTGCAAATATTTTAGTATTAATGTTTGGTAAAAAACAACGTTTCTCAGAAAATTTCTAAAATATAAATTTTAATTATTTGCTTAAGATACATTACGAATATTAAATATATTATTAATATACAAATATATATCAGCATAAAAACTCACTGGTGCAGCACACCAGGCACAATGTGGTGTTTGTATGCATTCATGACATGTTTGCTTGCTAATACAAGGATTCATTCCAGTCAATCTCTCTGGAGGTGAATAATTTGCCTTTACTAGCGATGTAGTAATTGTTATCACTATAATCCATTTCAAGCTGCCAAACATTTTGAAAATGTTTCTGAAAATCATTAGTAATATAATAATTTAATTAGATTATACATTAAATTGTGGTTTTAAAATAATATAATTTTACAATTCTTGTATTCTTAAATTATAACTTCATACAGTCATTTTCAAAAAATGAAAGAGGTATGAGGTAATATTCTTGCAATTGTTGACTCATCATATTCTTAAAATACATACTCTTAGTTACTATTTTTATTGTCTGGATATAAGCATGAAATATTTATATTCATTTTATATGGGTGAAAATATATTAAAATCTTTAAATGATTTTAATTAATTTTCTAAAAATGAAACAAATTTGTACTTCATTTATAAATACTACAGAAAATTTATTTGGCAAGTCTATAAATAACTTAAGTTGTCTTATCATTTCATTTTAAAGTTATGGTTACAAATCTGAAGAAAATAATAATTAATATAATTAATTTTAATATCAGTAACATTAAAATATTTATTTTATCAAATTTATTTACACATTTTTCTTGATATATATATTAAATACATACATATACATTTGTAAGGAAATAAATTTAGAAAAAAATAAGACGTTTACAAAATAATTATTTATTTAATAGAAAATGCAATTAAAGATTTAATTGTAGAAATTCTTCTATACTGTTGTTCTTAATTTAAGTGACATTTTATACATAATATGAATTAAAAACATGTTCATTTGGAAAATTTCAAAGAATTCTCTAAATTTATATTTTAACAGTATTACTTGATATTTCCAAAATACAATTATTCACGGCTTAAAACAAACGGCTTATTCATTCATAATGATGCCGTCATCTTTATATTTACAAAATGATATCTCTTCGTGAACGAAATCACAAATATTAGAAAAATTGAATAAGAAGTCTAGAGACTTACTTTTCCGTTAGAAATTTTCTTTTCAATTTGTTATTAAAACATCACAAGTTTCACTAATGTTTTCTTGTTACTCGAATCGCCATAAAAGGTAACCCATCAAACGCACGCACTCCACAACCAATTACCAGAGCGTGATAGACTCACACGTTCTCTCGCTGATTCTGATTATTCTGATTGTACATGCAGCATAAAGTATTTAATAATACCTAGATACACATCTAGTTAAAATGAAAGTGAATATATTAGCGCTACAGACGTCCAATTTTTGAATTATTTTTTTTTGGAGTGCGAAGAAAGCGGGAAATTTTGAATTTTATTTAGATGTACATGCATAAATATTAATTCTAATATTATTTATTAAAATTATTGTATTAAAATAAACAATTTATTTCCGTAATATTATTAAAAAAGTTAATAATGTTGAAAAATATAACCAAACAAAAAGAAAGAGTTAAAAAAACCATGAGATTAAGATCTAGATAAAATCAGAGTTGAATTTATTATCCTGAATATTTTAGCTAAATTGAGCAAATATATCTATTGCTACTTAATCAAATAAGTTAGCAACACAGTTCAAATATAAAATACATTATTCCTAAAGATTATAATTCACTAACAATTATTAACCAATAGCTGGAGATTTACTTTCATTTATTGGAAGAGATATACGATCTTATAGAGGATTTATTCCGTGACAATTATTGCATGATATTATATAATTATGAAAGTATACTTTTTCTGATAATATATTAATATATATTAAAAACATTAATATTAAAAACGTATATATACAAGTATAAAGAGAAAATTATATAAATAGAAGAAATAATATATTATATTGAATAACGTTGTCAAAGTCGACTCCATATTATATGCGCAGAAGACCAAAAGAGATATTTAAATCGCTGCTGCGCATCCCCACTTTTGAATACATTTGTCTCCCATGTATGTCATATCCGGATACGTACTAAATCGTTCTTTCTGTTCGTGGATGTGGTGTAAGTAGGATCGCTTGATCAGTGTTCGTAATTTACTTTCTTTTTTTTGTAAATTATTACTAAATGTTGTATTGTAGTTAATACTTCATTTTTCTTCAAAATGTTTGGATATATTTTACATAGCAAAAAAAAAAGAATAATAAAAATTAATTATTCTAGGAATCGTTACCTTATTCGATCGATTGAATACGACTCATCATCTTTGGTAGTAATTCAATTAGGAATTGAAAGTTTCCTCCATTGCATCAAATATGTGAGTAATAGTATCATTTTTAACTATAATTTTAAAGTTAAATTGTATAATGTATTTATATTTTTATGTTCTATCTCTCTTCAAATCTGTTCACGATTGTTCATTACATGATATCCGCAATGCGTCGTTTAATTTCGCCTTCGTGGATATTTATCTATGTATAATGTTATGTAACCGTTCTTTTAAAGATTTTGATAAGTGTCTATATTTCCATCAAAGTATTTATTCGTATTTTTTTTTTTTTTGTTCAAAAAAAGTACACATAAAAAATACAAATTTAAAATTTATGTATAGAAATTGTTATTTATTAAAGGTTACGACATATTTTGGGAGGCCTTGGATCTCTCAGAATTAGGTTTGTATATAAATATGTGTATTTTATTAAATACCTCCTATTTTGGCATGCCTCCATTTTATGTACATGAATGGAGCATGAATGCTTGTGGGAGGAACAGCAATTTTGAGAACTTGCCTTCGGAATCCACATAACTTTTATCTGGAGCTGATTCTCTTTGTTCTCTACATTTATATGAAATAAGTATAATAAGGTGATTTTTAATGTATCTTAATTTTTTATAGGACGTACGGAGCTAGTTACCATAGTGGAAACTATAGAACAAAAGAAAGAGGATCTGTATATAAAAATAATGCTAATAGGAATGGACGATTTGAGAATCGTAATAAAAATAATATGCATGGTAATATCGGGCCCTTGAAAAAGCCAAATTGGAACTTTGTAAATTTGGAGCCTTTTAAAAAAGATTTTTATATACCACACCCTAATGTTCAATCACGTCACCCACAAGAAGTAGATATATTTAGACAAGAAAATCAAATTACTCTTAAGGGAGAAAAAATTCCTAATCCTATACAACATTTTGAAGAAGGAAATTTCCCTGATCATGTAATGCAGTGTATCAGAAAACATGGATTCAACGAACCAACTGCTATTCAGGCTCAAGGTTGGCCAATTGCTATGTCTGGACAGAATATGGTTGGAATAGCGCAAACTGGATCTGGAAAAACTTTGGGATATATCCTTCCTGCAATAGTACATATTAGCAGTCAACAAGCTTTAAGTCATGGTGATGGACCAATTGCTTTAATTCTAGCACCAACAAGAGAATTGGCACAGCAAATTCAAAAGGTTACACAAACTTTTAGCTATGTAAAAAGCACTTGTATTTTTGGTGGAGCACCAAAGGGAAGTCAAGCTCGTGATTTAGAACAAGGAGTTGAGATTTGCATTGCAACACCTGGACGATTAATTGACTTTTTGGAACGTGGTGTAACTAATTTACGTAGATGCACATATTTGGTGTTGGATGAAGCAGATAGAATGTTGGATATGGGTTTTGAACCACAGATCCGTAAAATTATTGAACAAATCAGACCAGATAGACAGGTACTGATGTGGTCTGCAACTTGGCCAAAAGAAGTTCGAAATCTTGCAGAGGAATATCTTGTAGACTATACACAATTGAATATTGGATCATTAACATTGGCAGCTAATCACAATATTCTTCAGATTGTTGATGTTTGTGAAGAACATGAAAAACAAACAAAGTATGTATTTGAAATGATTTTAATACTATGAGTTATAATGAAAGTTTTTTATTTTGTTATTTATGATGTAAATAATATTATGATAGTATGTGATTTCGCATAATATTTTACCTCTAAGAAGAACTGAGTTTATTCAATATAACAATATTGTAATTTTTAAATATTATTTACCATTTAATGCTGTTTCTTTATTTTAGATTGCAAAATCTTCTTCAGGAGATTAGTAATATCAATCCAGATGATGGAAAAACAATAATTTTTGTAGAGACAAAGAAAAAGGTGGAGGTTATCACTAGAACTATTCGTCGATATGGTTGGCCGGCTGTATGTATACACGGTGACAAATCACAAACAGAAAGAGATTTTGTTCTTACAGGTTTGTTAATATATATGTGTGTGTGTGTGCGTGTGTGCGTGTGCGTATATATATATATATATATTTAATAATATTCTCATTATATTTTTCATATATTAATACATCGTATTATATTAAATTTTAGAATTTAGAAGGAATAAGGATTCAATTCTTGTAGCAACAGATGTTGCTGCGCGTGGATTGGGTAAGTAATAAAATTATTATTCAATATTTTTTGTTCTCTTTTTTTAAACACTTTTGAGAATTTATCAAGCTTTAAATAAAGTGTTGAAATGTAGATAAAGTTGAGGAAATTTATATTTAATTAAAAAGGGGTAGGATAGGATAAAGTGGCGATGTAGCACAGACTGGTTATATGAAGGTGATGCCTCACTATTTTTAAAATAAAAGCTAATAGCTAATATTAATTAATTTATCATGTTAATTAAGAAATACAAAAAATTGATAAATAAGAAGTTTCTTAAGTAGTATATTTTGTAGAATTTTATAATTAATTATTAAAATTTTAATACGTATTAATGCATTTAGTATCTCAAACTTTTACATAAGCTTAGTATACTATGAATAGATGGCATTAGGTATCTTCAACTTTTATTACTTATTTCTTTTACATTCATACATATGTTGTTTTTATATAAATATGAAAAATGTTAAATTTGTATAATAGATTTTACGTTTCTGTTTTTACTATTTAAGAAAATTTTTTATCTTATATAATTGTATTAAGTACCTCAGGTAGTATATACAATGTTTTGTATTTTTTGATTTTTCTGTTAGCTTTATTAATGTGCAATGCTATCTATTTTGTTAAAAAAGAAGGAAAAGAAAGGAAGAGCATAAATTATATGCTTGTGTTAAAGAATTGAGAGTATAAAGATTGGAGTACTTCAGTAATATATGTGGGCATCCTGTAATTTATGTTAATCAGTCTGGTTGTCCTTTGTTTCAGAGGCACATGGTGCACAAATTGTATTGAGTGTGCGATGAAAAACGAAATAAAGAAAACATGGCTCACTCATTGTACATGCGCAATTCTGTTTTGCACATAATATTGTACTTAATGTGCCTCTGTGTTCAGCCTGTGTACCACGCAAATAGTAGAGTGGTGCGCGGGTGGTACCGCTATCGGCGCTGGTTGGTTGTGAGATAAGACCGTTGTTTACATTTTGATACAACCATCATACTTCATAGCCAATGCTCAGCCCGTATCAGAGACAACAATCTATTGATTTTGCTACTATCGCTACTCGGTGGTGATGCTTAGGCCACAACGTTGCGATGTGAAGTTGCATTTAACAATAGCACACATGGTGGGGCGCTCTATATGCAGTCATACGGAACGCAATGTTCAACGATAACAGGGTTTGTATTTAATTACTATACAGCTAACTTACATTCATATACATTTAAATGTAAAATTGATACAATTTTTAATATTGATACAATCTTTAATATTTTAATAGTTAGAAATGAAAAACTTAATGTGAAACATTAAATAACATAAAATCTTGTAATGTTTAAAATCAATAATGTTTAAAAAAATTTATTATAAATTTTACTTTAAATAATTATTTTTATTTGTGAATAAAAAAGAACTTGTCGGGGATATATACGCGTCCCGCTGTAACTGTTTTTTTAAAATATTGATTCTATATCATAGGTTCTGATTCTGTATTATAAGTTTATTTTTTGTTTTATTTTCTAAATATCTACACTTATAATACACAAAAAAGGTAATACAAATATTCTTTTCTTTATTATTAAGATTTTAGAAGTTATTATATTGTTATAAAATTCAACATTTATTAATAAAATGTGTGTATTTGATATGTAATGTGGTGTAGGCTTAGCTGTATATTTTATAGACAGATACGAAGATAAAAGTAATCAATTTTCCGCATTAATTTCGGTTGTAGTATTTAACTTCTATTTTAAGAAATAAATAAAAAAATTTTAAAAATCAAAGAGATCATATTATAACCTGTATGGATTTTTTATTTGATACATTGAATTACATACTGTGAAAAAATTAATATTTTTATTAAACATAACATATTTTATACTGTAATACACTTAGTAGTTTTATGCTAGTACATAATTTAATAAAATCATTTCTTTAGATGTCAACGATGTAAAGTACGTGATCAACTTCGATTATCCGACTTCATCTGAAGACTACATTCATAGAATTGGCAGGACAGGCCGTTCAAATAATGCAGGAACGAGTTATGCGTTCTTTACACCACAAAATGGCCGACAAGTTAAAGGTTTAATTAATGTACTTAGAGAAGCGAAACAAGTTATCAATCCAAAACTTTTGGAACTCGCAGACAAAAATGAGAATGATTCTATACGAAGTAAGTATTTATGAAAGTTATGAAACTCAATCGGTATTATGTGATAAAATTTTTAAACTGATATATATATATATATATATATATATA